CTCGCCCTGATGAAGTGGACTGCAAGGTTCACGAAACGTTGGCATTCCAAGAATGGATTTGAACACGGAGAAAACCCGCGAAACACAAGATTGTCATAAATGACATGTTTTTATTCTGTGACTTCTTAATAATTTCAATTTTATAACGACTAAATTTTAGGCTCGTAGCCCTTTTTCGTTCTGTTCTTTAGTAAAATAATGATACATACTCATACGCCGAGCCGCACCATATGTATGCGCGCCGCCCCTGATCTATGCGTAACATGGAGCGCTCATTTGTTAACTTAAAATTGCTCTAATTTAAAAAGTACTGTTGGAACGCAATTTTGTCAGAGGAAAAAGTTGCTTCTTTTGGCATATACAATCATGCTGTGCAATCCATATCCGCGAATTCTTAAACATCCTGTATAATAAGTATGAGACCACAACGAAAAAAAAGAGAGCATGAATAAGGTGGTAAGTATAGAGGATCGTAAAGAGTGGGAGAGAGAACTGCAGCACACTTCAGTGAGTACAAGGCAAGGCAACGGGTTGGGAACAGAACGTAATGAGTGGGAGAGAAAAAGAACAAACTTCCTTTCCCGCAGACCCCTCGCCAAACGACGCACTTGTCCCCTCCGTTGTCGCTTGAACTCAATATCTGTGACGCATTCTTCCCTTGACCTTCACACAACATACACATCGCATATACATATACGCACTAACACATAATGGCTTAAAATCTTCATAGCTTATCTATTTACATAATTAAACAGATTACATATTTTCTGAAACAAATGGATTAATGTAATAGTGTTAATCTCTTACCGGGACCTTTAGCACCGCCTGATAGAAGACGTCCTAATCGAAATATGACAGCTCTTTCATACTCCTGTACAACCTGTAAGGTTAAAAAAAGACGTATTCTCTATTGTAACTTACAATTTTACTAAAATTTTATAAATTAAATACAATATAATAATAAATAATATCATGTTCCCATCTATTTTAGGTATGTAGACGATATTATCATTGCTTTGCCAAACGATCAAATCAGTTCCACACTTGATACTTTTAACTCATACCATGAAAGAATCAAATTCACTGTCGAGTTTGGTGATGATGTTGAAATAAGCTTTTTTGATGTAAAGTTAATGATAGAGAATGGGAGATTGATTTTTGATAATTATAAGAAGCCCACAAATTCTGGGAGATATTTGAACTTTTATTCAAATCATCCCCTGATACATAAAAAAGGTGTAGTAATTGGGCAGCTCGACAGGGTATTGTTTCTTTCTCATCCACAATTTCTTGAAAAAAATATAACATACGAGGGTCGTCTGAAAAGTTTTGAGCCTCATCATGAAGATGGCGTTACTCGTCAAAGCCATTCTGGTATTATAATCGTAATACTTACGAAAGAACTGTGACAATTGTGGCCACTTTGGACGTTCAGTTCTTGTTTGACAATCATTTGTGTCGTCATTTTGTAAAAATGCAAAAAATTGAATATCGTGCTATAATTAAATTCTTGCATTTGAAAGGCAATACGTCTACGCAAATTAAAGCCGAGTTGGACGCTGTTTACGGGGATTCTGCCCCATCATTTGCCACCGTGAAAAGATAGGTAGCTAAATTTAAACGTGATCGTACCAGCTTAGCTGATGATGAGCGTTTGGGACGGCCAACAACTGCGACCACTACCAATAACATCGAAGAAATTCATCAAATGTTAATGGACAACCGTCGAATTAAGATTAGGGTGATAGCAGAGGCTGTTGGCATATCAAAAGTGGCACACAAACGTTTGTCATATATTGACTGAAGAATTAGGCATGCGTAAGTTAACCGCGCGTTGGGTGCCGCGCTTGCTCACTCTGGATCAAAAACGAATTCGAATGAACATTTCTAAGGCCCTGTTGGAACGGTTTAAGCGAAACGAGTCAGATTTTTTGCATCGATTAATAACGGTTGATGAAACTTGGGTCCATCACTTCACTCCTGAAACGAAAGAACAATTAAAACAGTGGACTGCGAAGGGTGAACTTGCTCCGAAGAAAGCGAAGACGGTTTTATCGGCGGGAAAGATGATGCCGACTGTTTTTTGGGACAGTTATGGAATTGTGTTGATCGACTATCTTGAAAAAGGTAAAACAATAACAGGGACATACTACGCATCATTGCTTGACAAGCTGAAGGCAGAAATTGAGAAAAAACGACCGCATTTGAA